CAGCAGCTAAGCCAGTGGTGCTCAAACCTAAGCTGCCATATGAGAGATACACTCTTTCTAAAGCTCAGCAAGAGGCACGAGCAGCCAAAGAAGCTTATGAGGAAAGGCTGGCTGAGCTTGAAGCTGAGGCTGGCACATGCAACCCAGAGCAGGCAGCTAAGAGGAGAAGGCTGGTGGAAGGTGTTTTGTCAAAGAGACTGCAGGGCCTGCCCAGAAATGACCTGAGAAAGAACCGCAGGCTTGAGCTCTCAGCCAGCAAGAAAAAGTCCATAGCTGAGGACTTGGAGGCTGAGCAGGCCAATTTCACAGATGACAAGAGCTTTTGGAGAGCCATGTGCTTGAAGTATATGCTCCCTAAGAAGGAGCTGGCTCGTCTCCTTGCCCGAAAGGATCGTTGGGCTGAGCTGGCTGCTAAGCCAATTGTGAACAGGAACCAAAGGAACAAGCTCAGGAAAAGACTTCAAGGTGCTGGTAGACAGGTTCCTTACCCTGGCATTGTGAAGCACTTGTCTCAGTGGCTTGCCTTAGAGAGGAGCTTTGGCCACACCGTGCTGCCCCAAGATGTCCTAGCTGAGTTCCTTGCTCAGCTCAACACATCAGCAAACAAAGACTCAGCAAAAGCACAAGACAAGAAGCTGTCAGTTCTGCAGCACAAATTTGCTGAGGAGGCTGCTGGAAAAAAGGAGAGGCCTAAGAAGCTCCAGGCCTCAGGTACATACAGAAAGACCTTCAGCAAGAGGCTGCTGAGATGGATGGGTGCTAAGTTCACAACTGCTGAGCTTGTGAGCACCATCTCACCCACTGAGGCTGAGGTGAGGTGCAAGCTGACCTGGCAGGAGTTTGACTACACCCTGTGGCTTGCCTCCCTCAGCCCACTTGAAGAGCTGAGTGCAGCCAAAGTCGTGGTTGACCCTGAGAACTTTGTTGCTGAGAGAAAGCACTTGGTGGTGGGGTTCTCAGACCAGATCCCATTGTGGGCTAAGTCTACAGGGAGGAAGGCTGTCTTTGCCAAGGATGAGGTTTGGCAGCCACATCAGGTTAAGGACTTTTCTGAGGTGAGGCTGGCAGTGGCTGAGGCCATGAGGACTGATGAGCCTGCTGAGATGCTTGTGCTGCCAATTGGCTACAGCACCCCAACTAAGAAGAATGCTCTTCAGGATGGCCAAAGCCCTGCTTCCACTCTTGCTCGCTCAGACACTGCAAACTCCCTGGACACCACACCAGCTGTGAAGAGGAAGCTCAGCTTTGACACACCACTGCAGCACTCAGAAAGCAGAGGCTCCTTAGAAGAATGCTTGGAGCAGCAGCTACTTGAGAAGCCCAGCCCAGCAGAGAAGATGCCTGAGAAGCTTGAGCCAAAGCCCAGCCCAGAGCAGAAGAGTCCTGAGGAGCTTGAGCCCAGCCCAGAGCAGAAGAGTCCTGAGCCAAAGTGTGAGGCAAAGCCTTTGCCTAAGGCTGGAAGCCTCAGCATCCAAGGCAACTCAGCAGATGACAGGTTCAGGATCACCTATGAGACCAGGCAGCTGATCTATGGTTTGTGCAACCCTGATGAGCCACCAAGTGGTGATGTGGGCAAAGGCCTCTTGGTTGTGCCAGGCCAATGGGCAAGGCTGAGCAACATCTCTGAGAAAGGCACTTGGATCAAGACAGAGACCTTTCAAGTTGGTGAGAAGACAATCACCCACTCAGCTGGAACCTCAGCTGGCAGAGCCTTGGAAGGCTTCAGAAAGGTCAGAGCTTCGCACCCCGGGTCAGCTTGAGATCATGAGCCAGCCAGCTTCCAATGTGGACTCAGTCATTCTGTGCTGGTGCATTGAGGCCCAAGCAGCTCAATACCCTTGCTCAGTCTGGCAAAGGGACTGCTTCAGCTCAGTGTTTGCTGAGTCTGCCACCAAAAGCATGGCCTTGGCTCAGCAAATCTCCTGCTTGGTTGCAGCAAAGTGCACTTCCAAGCTGCAGATCACAGACTCTCAAGAGCTTAGTCAGGTCCAAGCTTGTGAGCCTCAGGCAAGAGCATCAAGCCCTGAAAACTGCTCAGAAAGAGGCCTGGAAGGTTGGCCCTCTTGAGATAGTCAGGTCTGTGGTGCATGCTCAGTGGCAGATGTCTGAGAAGAACTGCGAAGACCAGTGGGTGCTTGCAGCAGCAGTAAGGAATGGCATCTTAGCATACACACCCAACACTCAGACTGGCAAGCTTGCCATTGTCACTGAGCAGCACTGGGCTAAGAAGGCTGGCTTTCAGATGGGCAGCAAGAGGTTCCCAAGAGACAGGCTGAAGTGGCTTGAAGCTGATGGCAAGCCCAAGAAGGCAGACTGGAGCCTGAGCAGGTCAGCATCAGCCATCTCAGACCTCGTGCGGTGGGACTACTACAACCCTGAGGAAGACAAGGAGGCTGAGGTGGAGAGCCAGACATCCAGGCTGAGCTTGCACCAGAGCTTGAGCTGAGCTTGCAAAACAGCCTGAGTTTGAGGCTGCATCCTTGCCTGAGAAGGCAGGCCTGGAGAAAGGCTGCTGAGGAGAAAGTAGCTAAGGGGACTGCCTTAGAGAAGAAGAAGAAGAAGGACTGGAGGCAAGGCTGGAGGAGCAAGCTCAGACCCAGCATTGTTGCAGGGCTGAGGTCTAAGCTGCTTGGCAAGTCCAGAGAGGAGGCCTTAGCAGAGCAAGTGCCTGTGGTTCAGAAGAAGGCTAAGGCAAAAGCAGGAGCTAAGAAAGTGAAGCTGGCCTCATTTCTGAAGCCTTCAGCCAAGACAAAGCCATCACTTGCCAACAAGCCTTCTGCTAAGAAGAAGTCTGCTAAGAAGCAAGCCTTGAAGACCTTGGCAGACAAGCAGCTGAAGCCTCAGCAGGAAGCACCCCCTTTGCCACCACCTTCTCAGCCACCACCTGAGGAGCAGGAGCAGGAGCAGGAGCAGGAGAAGGTAGGAGAATGGCTGGAGCAGAAGCTCATTTGCTGAGAAGCAAAGCTGGCAAGCTGAGGTTTGGAGTTTCAGGCAAGGCCACTTGCTTTACTCAGGGCAGGTACTCCTTGCTCACAGCTTCAGGCACTTTCCTCATCCCTGAGGAGTGGCTGTGTTTGCTAAACAGCAGGCCAGACACAGCAGCCTTTGTTTGGCCAAATTTCAGGCAGCTTGCAAAGTCAGAAGTGAGGGGCATGCTGAGCAGCCTGGCCTGCTCTCCAGTGCTTGTGCTGAGCATCATGGAGTTCCCAGCCCATGACCTCACTCAGTTCCCTGACCACAAGGAGCCACTGCTGGTTGAGGATCAGTGGCTGTGGGCTGGCTGGCACATGCTGAGATGGGGGCTGCTCAAAAGCACAAAGCAAGTGCCTGAGCACTTCTCAATCACCTGTGTGGACCCAGCTGTGCCAGCACTCCTGAAAGAGTTCCCCACTGAGATGTTTGAGGAACGGGCTGAGAACTTGAAGCAGGCCATGAGATCCTTCAAGAAGGTCTTCTTTCCAATCTTCTCAGCCAACCACTGGACCTTGCTGGTGGCTGAGAAGGAAAGCTTGGAGCAGAACTCAGGCTTCGCGTGGAAGGTGTATGACTCCCTTGAGCAAAGAATGAAGGCCTCAGCAGAAGCAGAAACAATGGTAGGCAGCCTTGTCGACCCTGAGTTCACCTTGCCTCAGAGAACCAACTCAGTCTACCAAAAGCAGGGCAGCCTTGATTTGTTCTGGGTTGGATGGAGGAAGAGCTGAGGGTCTCCAGAGGTGAGTGGCTCAGAGCTTGGATTGAGCACACCTCAGCCTTGTGGAGAGAGAGGCTGATGAAGCTCTTCCAACACTTAGCCAAGGAGAGGGCTGTCATTGAGAAAGAGCTTGCGCAGCAAAGAAAAACATTTGAGAAGCAGGAGGCTAAGCAGCTGGAAAACAAGGCAGCAGCTGAGGCCAGGCTGGAGCAGATAAAGAACAAATCCTCAGCAGCAGCTGAGGCAGCCAAATTAGCAATCAAGAAAAACTCTGAGCGCTTCACTTGGCAGGATCTCTCAGCCACAGCAACCAACAAGATCAAGTCACTTGAGCACTCCATCTGCATTTGCTCTAAGTGCAGGTGGCAATCTGGCTGTGCTGAGTGCGACCCCTGGAAGGCTCTGAGGTATCTGGTTGTTCAGGAGGCAAAGGCTGCTAAGAAGATCCCCTTTTCAGGACTGTGGGCAGTTTAGAAAGACTGAGATTTGAGACTGCGCAGGACCAGAAGATGTGGCCAAGCCTCTGAGCAAGGCTAGCTCAGAACCAGCCTCCAGCTCAACAGGAGCTACCAAGGCTTAGAAACCCCTTTTCAGGACTGTGGGCAGTTTAGAAAGACTGAGATTTGATACTGAGACTGCGCAGGACCAGAAGATGTGGCCAAGCTTCTGAGCAAGGCTAGCTCAGAACCAGCCTCCAGCTCAACAGGAGCTACCAAGGCTTAGCAAGTTTAGCCTCAGCCCGAGCAAATCCAGAAAGCGAAGAAAACAGCTGTGCGTTTTTTTTAGATTTTTCTGGGGGGGCAAAAAAACTTGCCACAATAGCGAACCGTTAAAACAGTCACATGATTCTGAATTAGTAAAAAAATTTCTACAATAGCGACCACTAATAATAAAGGAGGTCCAACATTAAGTTCCCAAAATTCTAAAAGTTCTCAAAATTCCAACAATTCTAAAACCAAGGGTCCTGGCAGGGCCTTTCCTGGGACCATCTAGAATGTTCAACATTCTACGAACTAAGGCTCAGTTACCAAAAGGCGAATGGCCCGTTGACATTATACATAAAGTTCCCTCGTACAGGGGGAGGGGGATGTTCGGGAATTTGCAAGGTAAGAGCAGCGCACGTAAACGCTTCGGCCTCAAGCCATGGTTGTTGGTGTTTCAACATTGGGGCATTTGGGGCTGCCGTTTGTGCACTGGCAGCCCTGCACCTTGGTTGCTCTTTGCTTGGACTACGTCGCCTTGTCTCTTTTTTGGACGTTTGCCAATGCCCGTTGGCTTGGCAACCGTGGTCATTTGCACCCTTTTTCAGGCGGGGCCGACGCCTGCAGTTGGCTCCCTAGCTCGCTGTCCCTGGAAAGCTTGTGCTTTCCTGTGGGGTTTCGGGTGCGCAACTGGATGCCAACCTAGGACCCAGAAGCGGGGCATGTATGGGGTATACCTCCAAAGACTGTAGTACGCAAGCCGCAGCTCAGCAGATCTCAGCACTTTACAAACACACAAACAGCAGGCTGGCGCCCACAAGCTCAAGGGGGCGATATTTGTTTGGGGAATGGGAGTCACCAAGGAACGCGTGCAATGTCAACCTTGGACGAGTCTCAGAAATCGTTCCCCTTTGACAGTACTTCATGTCAGGTTTTTCTCGCAAACAGTGGACCAATCCAAAGCGCAGCCTGTATGTTTGTCTTTGGCAGAATTGCTGTTACACCTGCCTGAGGACACTGACGCGATGCGATCCAGCAGCAGCCAGGGCCACAATGCCGCCGTCACGAGTGAAAATACATTTCAGCGCACACGCCTTTGGAAGGCCCACTTTGGAAGACTCTTTTGTGGTGGGGGGGCTTCCCTTGGCCGGCTGCAGTCCGAACCGCTCGCTGGCAATTTGTTTTGCGGATCCTTGCGAGGTCATTTTGCACAATGGGTGTGTAAACGGGGTATGCGCAAACACCCCTATAAACTAATTCCTGCTGCTAAATAGTGAGCCAACCGCGCCCAAACGAAAAGTCTTGGTAAGAGGCGGCACCGAACCACATGGCGTCAGACCCAGTAGGCTAGTCAGAGTGACGGATGCATGTGGCGTTTCTCGTCGCGGCGATCCTAGGCCCTGCCCTGAACCGCTTCAGCTGCTATGCGTCCGGCCGACGCTTGGCCTTCACTTTCCTATCGCCGTCATCCCCCGAATGGCTGGGTTGGGGACCCTGAGCAGGGGCGAGTAGCTTGTGGCGTGACTGCGACAAAGCCTTAAGCCCAAAACAAAAAGCCCAACACCCTACACAGCCTCTGCAATGTGAACCATATCCGGGCCAGAGGACAAAATGGAAACACGTAACCTGGAAGCGCTCCCCGCGAGTCCGGCCCGGGAGAATGGTCTAACAGGCTTAGGGTGGTCGGCTTTGCCAACATTGGCAGGTTATCAGCCATAGTGTGCTCTGCCTGACGAGCTATCAACTGAGACCGGCAATACGCCGTTCTTCAACAGGAATATATGCACGCTGCCACGTTTGTGCCTGTTGTTTTGCAACGCCGGTTGCTCGAAGCGGGAGCGCGTCGCTGGGCCAAAGTTCAACCATTGCACCGGCCCCAGAGGCAAAACGCGGCAGGGGCGGGCGACGAGCGGAACAAAAGAGGAAGAACGAGTCGGCCGTAGCGTCGCCAAGGTTGACTTCGCCTTTCCCCAAGTGACAATGATCATGAAGCTTTCGCGCTGCGTCAGTCCGAGTTATTGTTGGCCGGATGACTCAATCGGTAGGAGCAACGGGCAATGTGAGCCCCAGACAACTAAGGACCTATTACGCTCAGAGGTCCAGATGTGAACAGACGGAGCAGGTTCTTGTGGGTGACTAGGTGCAGGATGAGTTTGAAGTGAGAAGAAAGCTGAAGCAACAGGCGTCTCACGTGCAATCACGGAGATTGCTAGAGCAAGATTTCGGCCAAGCCTACCATGGAGAAAATCCGAGACTACAATCGACATTTGGGAAGCTGACTGTAAACAGACTACCATCACCCCTTTGGCTGAGTTGGGTCAGGATCGGCGGCCGGATGACAATGAGACAGAGCACCCCTCTTACACTGCATCCATTCTGGGTATTGGCAAAAAAGGTTTAGAATGCTGGAAACGCCGGTATGGAAGTGCTGGTGAGTCTGGCGTGGGCAAAAACAGAGACAGCTCATGGCTATTTTTGGAATCATGGCCATTCAAGTGGAGAGGGGCCCTTGAAAACATGTTGCGTCTCTCAGGGAGCATTTTGCCGAAAGATGAAGGGTTCTAACGCCATGGAGTTCAATACTCAAAACCACCAGGGCAAGTCCTACAGCTTCTTCATGAACAAGGATGAGAACTGCCTTGGCTGTGGTCAGAAGCCTCAGCCGAAGGGGTTTAGGACGAAAGCGAAACCGAAGCCGATGTTGAGGATGCGGAAGCAAGTACTTTGCTGGCTGAAGCTAATTCGATGGAACACACGCTCCCTCAGCGCTGTGCCAACCCTTACTGCGACTCATGCGTCAGGATCCTGACGCGTCGTCTAAGAGGCCCAACACGATCTCAAGGCGTGGCGTAATGTATCACTTTTGACATCACGCCCCAAACCCTTAACTCATACGTGTTGCCACTCGAGAAAGAAGCGTTCGCCGCACGAGGTTGGAACACTGGATTGACGGCGGCGTATGCCGCGCCCACATATAAACAGAAAATGTGGTGAGATGCACAAAAAACTCATTGTAAAGGAGAGAGAAAACTCTGACGCCACAGAAGAGTTTGCACGGGCATGCCAGGAGTTTCGACAGGGAGCAGCAAGAACAACCCACTGGCTGACAAGAGCAGCGGGGCTACCTCCGTGTTGCTCACGATCTTACGCGCTGTGAAGATGTTGACGGCGGGAAGATGACGGAGGAGACTTCCCTGGAAGCTTAATATCGTGGGGCGCTGAGTAACCAAGTCAAGAATCAAGACATGGGCAACGCCAGTTTCATGATTGGGGAGGTAGGATGCCTTCCTGGGATGTCTTCCCGCAAGCCACTTCCAGGCTAAGCTGCGGACCCCATTGTTCTGGATCGAATTATGGCAAGAAGCGTGGCCTGAAGATGGAAGCTGGAATCACTGAGGCCGGTCAAGGCCTTGTGTGTTCATCCGGATGCTGGAACTCTGTAGCAAAAAGCATTGTGACAAGAGCGTGCGCGGTCTCCTTGCAACACGCGTGGAAAACTTCAAAAAGGATGGGGGCCTGAGACATTTCTGGGGCTGTACTTGGTCGCAACCAGACAATTGACTTGGGCCTGAGAGCCACGACTCTTACATGGCTTCTATTTTGCAGAAGTTGGACGCGCGCAACATCACGTGCGTGCCGCGTCAAAGCGCTGCGATTGTCCGCTTTGTCCGGGACAAGGTGCAGGAACGTTATGCTACAACTGCCCAAGGCTCAACGACTGGCGTGCGGCTTGACGTTATTGTAGCGCAGCCGCATGTCCCGAATTTCAAATATGGAATGAAGGCGGGTCCCGCAGAAAATCAATATGGAACTGGCACACTGGCAGATGAGCAAGGAACCATGATTCTTGCCGCGTAAGCTTTCTGGCAAAACCGTGATCGATCGCCGCAGTGGGATGATGTGGCTGTTATAGCGGGCGCCCGCGCCCTTAAAGCCTTTTTCCCTCAAGGTTCCACGGGGGTTCCACCAAAGGGCCACCAGATTCGGCAAGGGCTGCGGGATGGTGCGGGGTGGTTGAGGTCAGGTTCCATGAGTTCCGCCAGGGTTCCACAGAGTTCACAAGGAGTTTACAAGGGTTCCACCACCGCAAGGTTCCACAAGCGTTCCACAAATGTTCTTCGATGGTTCCGTCGGTTTGCCGTGGAGGGAAGCAACGTGCCGCGCGCCGTCTGAAAAGCCATCGGAGCAGTAAATTGACGGCTCAAGATCGCCTTGTTCGTGGGCGGAACACTAAGCAAAACCGAAAGCAATCAGCACAATTGGACTGTGTAGACTTGCTCACGGGCGCAGACAACGCGGCCCGAAAGGGTTTTGGCTTTGTTGCAAATCAGGTCAGGTTTCTGCGGGACTCAATCTGCAGCAGAGTAAATGCTTGGCATTACTTACTATTACTTGGTGGGCTTTGGGACTGAAGGGTTCCACGAGGCTGCGAGAAGGTTCCACGAAGCTTCCAGAAACTCTCCAAGAGGTTTCAAAAACTATGGGGCAGCCTGAGGAAAGGCTTTCGAAAGACAATCCCAAACTAACAGAAGGAGCAAAACCGGGGGAGTTTAAAACAGGGACCGCCCTACCGTAAGAGCTTATCTTTGGCCTCAACACACTGCATGCAAAAGATCAGTGCCCTACCTTTCCCCCATTCGAGTGGCTCCGGCTACATACAACCCCAAACTGACAGGGGGGAACTAAAACAGGGGGAGTCAAGACAAGGCGCGCCTTTTTTGCCATGTCGCTCAAGACCTGCTGGCGCTGGCTGGCACGCTTAGAGCTTCAGGTTTGAAGTCCAGTATCTGCACTGACTTGTCTCTAGCTCTGCTCTCATGCCAAAATCAATTGCACAGCTTCGCCTGCGGATCTGGGCCTGCTCTAATTGCGCCGACACGACGCCTAAAAGATTTGTATCTTTCTTCAGGTCTGAAGTCAGGCTTTAAGACAACGAACACTCACAGTGGCAGTTGAGGCACGCCCGGTGGCCTGAACTGGCGCACCGGACGTGAGCATCAAGGAGGCCCCATGCCAGCTGCTACGTTGCTTGGGGACGCAAGCTCGTCTCTCAACTGCTTCGTTCGAGAAAGCGGCGATCAAACTCGTCAAAATCGACCATGGGTTTTGCAACCATGCACAGCAGGGTGTCTTCTCGCAGTCGCATGACAGGCATGGACTGCTGTAGACTGACAGCCCACTGCAGTTTGGCGCGGGCTGCGGCCTCATCTAAAGCGTCCGCAACTTCGAAAATGACGCGCACGCCCTTCTCGTCGTCGTTGGCGTCGTGCGTGGGGTCTCCCAGCAGTACGCGAGCCACGATCTGCAGCCGGTCCACGTTCTTGTAGGCCTCTGCGGAGACCTGCCCGGCAGCGTCCACGGCGACGTCAGAAAGCTTGACAAGCGGCACTCCGGGTGTGCAGAAGTCTGCAGAGAGTTGCAGCAGCGGCTTCGCCGTGCCAACAAATGCTGCGAGCTGCGGCTGAGCGAAAACTACTTCGACCCTCGTCCGTGCCGGTCTGTTTTCGCTGCCGACTTCTCGGCGCAGCACGGCCCGCAAGCGCCAGTTCGTGAGCTCAACTTTCGCGAGCGCTCCGGCCACATCTGTGCTGCGCTGCCCAGGCTGGACGCCCGCTGCCGCGAGAAACACGGCGTCGGCCACCGGTGTGAACAACTTCATGCTCATGGTGGCAGTGTGGTCCCACACCTCCACTTCCAGGGCGTAGCAGGCTCGAGTCGCGCCATCGTGGGCGCCAAGGCGTCGTCCCGCGGGACAACCGCGCTGTGCTCAAGGCGACATACGTTGCCGGCTCTGCAGCGAAGTCGACCTTGGCGAAGCCCGATCCAGTCCATTCGGACAAGTTGTCGCACGAGCCAGCTGAGGCGTTTTTGGCCGCAAGCAGCTCGCTCTCCTGCAAGGATAGCTGCGTGGCTCGACTTGAGCCTTGCTGAAATCGCTGTACCGATACGTCTTGCTCCCAGCACGAGTTTGCCAGCGCAGCCTCCGCAGCCACGGCGTGGTCGCCCCAGGCCACTCGGCTGGCCATGCCGCCAGCGCGCGTCAGACCCTGCACTACCAGCTTGCGAAGAGTTCAAAACACCGGGCTCCCACAGTGATGTTTCTTTACTTGGGGATCCAAAAAGTTCAAAGAGTTCAAACACCGGGCTCCCACAGTGATGTTGCTTTACTTGGGGATCCAAAAAGTTCAAAGAGTTCAAACACCGGGATCCCACAGTGATGTCGCTTTACTTGGGGACCCAAAAAGTTCAAAGAGTTCAAAACACCGGGCTCCCACAGTGATGTTTCTTTACTTGGGGGATCCAAAAAGTTCAAGGAGTTCAAAACAGCGGGCTCCCACAGTGATGTTTCTTTACTTGGGGGATCCAAAAAGTTCAAAGAGTTCAAAACACCGGGCTCCCACAGTGATGTTTCTTTACTTGGGGGTTCAAAAAGGTT